TTAACAAAAATTTTTTAAAAGTTTCTTGGTCTTTTTGAGACAGGGTCTCCCTATAGCCCTAGCTGACCTGGATTCGCTATGGAGACCAGGCCGGCCTTGAACTCACAGAGATCTGCCTGTCTCTGCCTCCCAAGTGCTGGGATTAAAGGCATGTGCCACCACGTCCGGCCAAAGCTTTACTTTTTGAAGAGTTGACAAGGACAAATTCTAAGTGGCTGAAGCAAGAGCCCAGGTTTGAACTGGCCAAAGGGCAGGAAACAGCCTGTTGATGTCAATAAAAAGTAACAGAAGAACTCCTGGACAGGGTGGCACTGACTATAATCCTGCAATCCTCTGTGGCCACTGCACAACACAGGTGCACCTACCTACATGCAGGCAATACACTGGTAAACATTATATATATATATATATACACATATATATGTATATATATATATGAAAACAAAAAACCCAGGACCAGATGGATTCACTGCTGAATTCTACCAGACTTTAAAGAAACACTAAAACCAATGCTCCTCAAACTATTCCATAAAATAGAACTGGAAAGAACACTCCCAAAGCCATTCTACAAAGCCAGATAAGGGCACAGGGACAAACTACTGGCCTATTTCCTTGATGAATGCACATACAAAAATCCTCAGTAAAATAGTTGCAAACCTAACTCAATATGACATTACAAAGATGATCACATTACAGCATGACTGAATGCATTTTATTCCAGGGATGGAAGGAACAACTCAACATATGCCAATCAATAAATGTAACATGGCACATAGGCACAATTGAGGACAGATATCTCAGGTTCATCTCAATAGACACAGAAAGGCCTTCAACAAAATTTGTGATAAAAGCCCTGCTGAAACTAGGAATAGGAGGAACATATCTCAACATGACTAAGGTTACATAGGACAAAACTATAGCCAACATTACACTGAATGGAGAAAACCATCATTTTCTCTAAAATCAGAAACAAGTCAGCGGTGTCCATTCTTGTCACTCTGAGTCAACATAGTGCTTGAACCTTAGCCAGAGCAACAAGGTAAATGAAACAAAAAAGAGAAAGAAATTTAAAAAGCAAATGATCCCTATTTACAAATTATGTGATCCTATACTTAAAAGATCCCAAAGATTGCATCAGAAAACTCAGATCTGATAAACGATTTTAGCAAAGTATTAGGATGCAAAATCAGCATATAAAAATCAATTGCTTTCCTGCATGCTATCAATGTACTCACCAAGAAAGAAATCAAGACAATCCCATTTACAATGCCCTCAAATAATAGGTAAATACCAAAGAATAAGTCTGATGAAAAGCGTGAAATACCTCTATAATGAAAACTTTAAAACACTGAAGAAAGTTGAAACCACTAGAAGATGGAAAGATCTCTCATGTTCATAGATTAACAGAATCAATATTGTTAAAATGGCTACATTAAATCAACTTACATATTCAAAATAATCCCCATCAAAATTCCAATAATATTCTTCCCAGCAACAGAAAAACTCCCAAAAGAACAAAGCACATAAAATAGCCAAAGCAATCCTGAGCAAAATGAGCCATGTTGGAGGTACAGCAAACCTGACTCCAAATTATACTCCAGAGCCATAGTAAGAAAAACAGC